AATACGGGGTGCCCACTGCGGATGGGATCGACCGATTGGACCGATTGGGCCGATCGCCCGACTCGGTAGCCTAATAGGGGGTGCCCACATACGCGTTCGGGTGGGGTCGGGTCTGGTCGGGCCTATCGGGTCGGGGTTTCAGTGCACACTACAGCCCCGCCGCGATTGTACTCGACGACCTGGAAGTTAAAGTAGAGAAATCTGTAACCTACATGCAACTACGCAGAGGAGGCGAGGGGGACCAGAAAGTTGAGACGAAAGCAGACGGCAGAACATTGTTAGTGAGTAGGAAAGAAGGGGAAAGGAGAACATTTTGGAGAAGAAAATTTTTCCTTCGCTTTCCGGATCGAAACCGGAACCTTTTGAATGAGAAGCGAACACCGTAACCATTCGACCACGAAAGTCCCCGCACAGAGGTCTGATGAGTTGATCTGCCTGACCAGAGATCGCATAAACTCGGGCTACGATTGGCTGGAACTTTGACCCATGAATACATAAAATATGCCTACCGTACTCTTGGACTTCCCGCAATCCCTGACTATGTGTGTGTGTGTGTGTGTGTTTCTGTGTTTCTGTGTGTGTGAGTGTGTGTGTGTGTGTTTGTGTGTGTGGATGTGGATGTGTGGATGTGGATTTATAGGATGTGTGTGTGAGTGTGCGTGAGTGTGCGTGCGTGTGTGTGTGTGTGTGTGTGTGGATGTGGATGTTTAGATATATGTATATGTGTGTGTATGTTTAAATACCTGTGTATGTGCTAGCCCGAATAATGTGTGTGTGTATGTGTGTGTGTGTGTGTGTGTGTGTGTGTGTGGTAGGTGTGTGTGGGTGGGTGTATTATACAGAGTTTGATAATGAAAAGAAAGCTATATTTGTAGCGTACTTCTCCTCATCCTTCTCAAAGAAAGTGAATCTGGCTCTACGGTTGTTCAGGATCCAATCGTTAGAGTGACCTGTAGCAACACGATAACTCAAGTCCTCAATCTGTACAGAGAAAAAGACATGATAAGATCATATGTATAAATATAAATATAAGTATACATATAGGTATAAATATATAGGAAAAAAGGAAGCCTATTCACCATTGCATGGATAACCGAACAAACATACATACACGCAATGACATTTCATGCCTCCATACAGTTCTCTAGCGAATTACCCGATCCTTCAAATTCGACAAGTTCAATAAGTGTGCATCCCACATTGCTCTCCGGTTTGAAGTCTTTAGTAGCCAGGACAAATAGGCATATCATTTTAATGTTTATAAAAGTGCGCGAATCTATGTAAGATAGAGAGAGAGACAGAGAGAAAGAGAAAGAGAGAAAGAGGGGGAAATAAAGAGAGAGAAAGAGAGAGAGAGAGAGAGAGAGAGAGAGAGAGAGGGAGAGGGAGAGAGAGAGAGAGAGAGAGAGAGAATCAGACAGAGAGAGAGACAGAGAGAGAGAAGGAGAGGAGGGAGGAGAGGAAGTTCATCTTCCTTAAGTGGTGTCAGTCATTGCCGCCACCCGTCTTACTATCTCCTAGTATAACAACCTGACCCGATCCTACACATTCGACTGCTCCAACAATATTGTGCATACCACATTTCTCACCAGCCTAAAGTCAGGCAGAAGTACATCTTCTCTAAACGGTGACAGTCTTAAGCCACCACCCGCCTCCTTACCTCCATCTAAAAATATTATGATGCCCCTACCCTGCTAATGAAATAGATGTACATCCAACATTTCTCACCGGTCGGAGGTCAGACAAAGGAACATCTTCCTGAAGGGGTGAACACAGTATTCTGTAGTTCCACTGGGCGTACTGGGGCCTTCCTGAAAAGTGTGGGTTTAGACTGTTTCATAGGAGAAACATGCGTGTGTGTATGTGTGTGTGGGGGGGGGTGCGTTTATGTGTGTATGTGTGTGTTTGTTTGTGTGTTTGTGTGTTTGTGTGTGTGTTGTATCTAATCTTATACAACATTGAATATGTTAAAGGTAGAGGGGAGAGAGGGAAGGAAAGCAGGAGAGAGTAAGAGAGAGACAACGAGCGAGACAGAGAGACAGAGACAGAGACAGAGACAGAGAGAGAAAGAGAGAGAGGCAGACAGACAGACAGACAAGCAGACAGAGAGGCAGACAGAAAAGAGGAGAAACAAAAAGAGAGAGGAGGGGAGACAAAGTAAGTGACTGACATACAGGCATAGAGAAAATATGAATGAAAGACAAAGGGAGAGAGAGAGAGAGAGAGAGAGAGAAAGAGAGAGAGAGAGAGAGAGAGAGAGAGAGAGAGAGAATGAGAGAGAGGGGGAGGGTGATGTGCGAGAGAGAAAGGGTAAGAATGAAAGAGAGAGAGAGAGGAGGTGGGGGTCGAGCATTTGTGTTTTAGAAGGCCTGACAAAAAGACATAATAATGTATGTAAAATACACACAAACACACACACACACGTACA